GCTGGTGGCCAAAATATTCAAATTTCAGTAGAATAAAATTTGTATATTTACACTGTAGTACTAAACAATCAATCAATCAATCAAGCAAGCAAGCATCATGTATGTCATTTCGAATTTCATGATAGCAAAAACATGCTAACATCTCCGAAGAAAATAAATTCATAAAGTTAAAAAACTAAGAAATACACGTGATACAGTAGAACCCCAGTAACTTGAATTCTGAAGAGAAACTAAAATCCGTTCGAGTCAGCGGGTTCTCAAGTTATTGGGATTGATTAAAATATTCAAGTTTCCAGGTTAATAATAATTAATAGTTTATTGATTTTCAGCACTTCAGTATACAATACAGTGCAAATTAAACTTATTTCATGAGAAACTAATACATTTTGTAGCTACTGTAATGATTATGCATTCTTATGACAATGCAATACTGTGAATGTAACTTAGTTTATTTAATACACTCAATTTATGTTCCCTTTTGCATCAGGGTCCTTCTGTTATTCGTAAAGTTCTTATTGCTCTTTTCCAGGACTTTCCAGTCCTGGAAACTGCCACAGTCAAATTCCAGGACTTTCCAGGTTTTCCAGGACCCAACCCTGCATTAGCTTTTCTTATCATGTGATCGAACTCTAACACTAGAACAAAGACTGGAGGAATTTCATTTTTATTACTGCAACAAACAGATCCTGTATTTGACAGTTATTTACCAATCATAAGAGTCATACCGGGTGCGGTGCCTTTGCTGTCACAAATCAGAAGCAGTATACGGCAAATAGAGGCATTGGCAGAAAGAATCCTTCCCTGCATTCTTGGTCCTGGAAAGTTCTGGAAATCTGTTAAACTCAAGTAAAAAATATGAAATGTATGGCAGACAGTAAGGAGAATGAACATTGAGATCTTGGGAGTGAAAGGGTTAATGTGAGTTTTAGACTCCTGGAAACATCAGTCGGGGTCCTGGAAAAGTCCTGGAAAAGTCCTGGAAATTTGTTTCTGCAAAAGGATGCGAACCCTGTAATGGGATATCTCAATGGGCATCCATGGCGAGTTATAAGAACCAGAAATTTGTGTTATCAGGGTAAATTTTGATCAAGGGAAATGAAATTTAGTTCGAGTCAGCAGGGAATTCGAGTTATCTGAGTTCGAGTTAAGTGGGTAAAAATGACTGAAAAGTGGGGTCAAATCCAAAGGAAATGGGACTTGGTTTGAGTTAGAGGGGGAGTGTTAGTTATCCGAGTTCGAGTTATCGGGGTTCTACTGTAGATAAATTTATCAAAATTGGTTAACAAATTTCATCAGGTTAAAGTGTTCATCAACTTTCTTGTAGCCTGTGAAAGAAATTAATACATAGGCATTATCAGTATTTCCTGGTGTACATGTACGTGTGCTGTATACAAACAATATTCCACTGTTGCAGATGTTATATTCAGACTTAATCTTGAAATTAAATCTACCACAGACAAAGGATAAAAAGGAGTTATCCAGTCTACCATTTATGAAAAATCAACGTGTTTGTGCCTACTGACATGTTAACTGGGCTGTACAATTTTTCCACTTGACTGATTTCTATTAGAGAAATGGGGCAAAAAAACACTGTCGTGAATGTTAAATAAAAAACCAGACATAACACTCTTAGAATCAGTGCCACAGACATTACAGTCTTAGAATCACTGACAAGTGTAGAAGATAAATTATCCTTTTTTCTTGTTCTCAGTGATATTAAGCAAGATATATATAGCCAAATATTTTATGTTATAATTTATGATTGGAACTGGTTGGCATCTCATGTAAAACCCCTGAAATATCACAGCACTTTTTGGGGGACACAACATGCTTTTTGCATGAAGTATAACCTGCATTTGAGCCTGCTCTTGGGATATTTCTGAGCCTGGAAACATATGCTGGTCACCAAAATAATAACTTCTTTTACCAGAGAATAGACAAAAATGGCAGTTTTGTTGAATTCAAGGTTTCTTTACTGAGTTGTCACAACTACTTACTATTGGCCTTAAGACGAGGCAAAACAAAAGACTCCACTATTCAAACATTTTTTCAGCTTCTGTTGTTGTTCCCCAGTTTATCAATGGACCATTTGAAATTCCAGAGCAACTAGATGTGGAAAAAAAAACTCTTGAAAGTAATAGGAAGCATACATGTACATGTACATGTAGAAGGGTTTAAGAACTGTCAGAAATGATTATGTTCAACAGAGTGGCAGAACCTCTTCTGCAGCTATTGTTGAAATTTCAGAGTAGTTAACAACCCATTGGAAAGCCTCTGTCTTTGTCAAAAGTTTGTTAGGTGAAACTAGAGCAAATTTAGAAGGACATAATTATGCGATGTAATGTTCTGTCTTTTAAGAACCATTTCAAAATGTTTTTACCTAAGTTCAAGGAGTGTAATGTCAAGGAGTGTAATCTCGACGACATAACATCCAGAACAATGTTTTGTTGCCATTATTTGGAAAATGTTGCAGTTTACCAGAGATATCTTTTGGCCAAAGTGTTTCCATATTTGGATATCTAGCTGTGTGACAAGAATGGTTTTAAAATCTTTCATGTAGTCATTTTAGAAAACAAAAAAGATTGTTGAAACATTGTGGATGTTATGTAACATCTGTGACTTTTGTTATAATTATCTACTTTTTAAAAACGTTCAGGGTGAAATTTATATCACTTATGTGTTACATTGTAGCTCCAGTGAGGGACTTTTTCTTATATTTCCCAAGTTTGATTCAGCAAGTTAAAAAATTTAGTCTTCTTTCCTGTTGTTTGCTCCAAAAAAATTAAAACAATAATTACTTTGGGAACCCCCCTGAATACACGGTTGTCATGAGAGTGCTGAAATGTATTTTTCTGTGTATTTTTAAAACTTGTCAGCAGTGTATTCATGTGCAACCTCTTTTTAAAAATCTGGATTCTGACACCACTCAAGTGGAATTGCCCATACATGTACGTGTACATACATCGATATGTAGGTTTCTAGTTTTAGCAAGTATATGTTAAATCAACAACTCCTGACCAACCATTTGAAGGGTTGAAATTGTTTTCACCACATATGAATGCAACAGTCACAGTATTGGGGATAAAATATTTATTGAACTGAAAGTTAGACAACTATTGTTTTTATTTCCAGTGATATTTAAGATATTTAAACCTTACAAGCATTATTTTGAGTTGAAGGGAGTGACAATTATTTTAAAGTTGAGCCGTTTGAATAGATGCAGTTTTTTCTGAAATGGGTGCTCCAGATGGGTGTCTCGAAAACTCAGACCTCAGTCCCTAAAAACTCAGACCCTTTGAATGTCTCGAAAACTGAGGCCCGAAAAATAAAACAATTTTTCACAGGATGTTTGCCATGGATTGTTTCAAAATGACTTGTTTACAATGTCATAATTTTTATATACTGCAGGCAGAATCTGAGGGGAGAGAGAGAGAAAGAAAAAGAAAAATCAGTCGTGGAGGTAGATTCCTCTGCTTTAATCATGAAAATAATACCCAACATTTGTATCATTTTTTGGTTGCCTTACAAGTATAAACCAAATTTATCAAATAAATGTATTTAGAATCCATTCAAGCCATGTTTAGTTAGCGTGAAGGTGTCTTGCATGAGAATTTTGAAATACAAATGGAGAGTCACATTGCAGAATTGATAGTTCCAAACAGATATACATTGTACATGTAACCTACATTGTATTATGGATACTTATGCTTAGATTAATTCTCCCAAATTCAATTTTGAGCAGAACAAACCTTTAATAGTCAAACAGAGTTTTTTGGGTCTGAGGTTTTGAGACACCCAGATGGCCTAAGTTATTTGGGTCTGAGGTTTTGAGACACCCAGGGCGTCTGAGTTTTTTTGGGTCTGAGGTCTGAGTTTTCGAGACATTTAACAGTGCTCTGATGACACCCAGGGAACCTGTACAGTGTGTATCACACACAGTGTTACTATTTTGCCTAGTAGGGTGAAAGACTAAGTTTGTGCATTTTATATATTATTTATTGATCCTAAAACTGCTGATGTCACCCATGTTCCTAAATCTTTTCCTATCGCAATGAGGTAATATTTATAATGACTGGTTTTATGGAAATACGATTAACTGAATTTGCAGAGGAAGGACTACAAAAGTTGGACCAGATAAAATTCAGATTACCAGTCTGGGCTAAATCAACTCAGATCAACTCTGATCATGAAAAGCCCATGAAAGCAATAATCAAAGTATTGGTGGTGAGTATTTATTGACCTGAAAGACAATATATGACAATAATATATTTCAACCTTACAAGCAAGATTTCTAATATCAAAGTGTCAGGGTGTTGTAGGTTTACCTCTAGAAAGCTATATGTTTGTCTTAGAGACATTCTTATGTTCCTTGCATCAACCTTCATTTACATGTACCTTCACCAACTTCATCTGAGTCCTTGATCGCCAATGGTCTATGGATCAATGGAACATATGCAATGCAGCTGAGCCCTGGACACAAGCCTGGACACAAGAACTTTAAGTGAAAGGGTGAAAACGACATTAACCTTGTTTTCTTTTTTTCATATTTATTGCCTCCCTCAGGACTCAACTGACAGGCATTAGTATAGAGTATAATCGTCACTCTTGAATTGCTGCTAAAATCTTTAACACCAGTCAGCTTAAATTGTAAAGGTGAGTCACTTACATTGTTAATCGTGATCAGCTCAGTAGCAAGTACAAAGAATCTGTGAAGACATAATAATTATTGATTGTGTCAGTTATACACAACTTAGACAGTTTTGAAATTAACACTCACTCATCCTCATCGGGTCCATGAGTAGTCTTGAGGCCAGCCAGAAGATCACGCCACCCATCCCGGTCTGAGGCCGATGCAGCAGCGNAGTTTTGGAGAATCTTTGGAAATCTTCAGAAAGTGCTCGGAAATCTTTGGAAAATCGTCAAAAACACCGTCATCAGTATGTCTATATAATAAAAAGAACATTACACATTATGTTCTCGTGGCAAGAACAGTATCTCACTCGTTCGCTGCGCTCACTTGTGAGATATTGTTCTTGCCACAAGAACATAAAATTCATATCTTCTCGCCACCGTGTAATATCCTCTATATATTTTTACGAGTTGTGCTGTATTTTGATGAGCCCGTAGGGCGAGTCAAAACAAACAACGAGTAAAAATATATAGTGATACTTAACACACCAAAACATCTACAGTGTAATAAGAGATATATTATCCAACTGCTGTAGTTAATAAATCTATCGGTGAAAGAGGGAGAGTGTGACAGTTTTGCGTGCACGTGCTGACCTATATGGCAAACAGGTTTTCTACTGTAAAAATAAGTGTACAGTATCGCTGTATATTTGTACTGTTATTTGGACGGTATTTGCTGCAGTTGGATGATAAATTGTATTACATGTATGCCTAAGTTACATGTAGCAAATATGTGAAGTTTATAAGAATCCACATGGAAATTTGAGACCCCAAACTTGCCAACTTTTACAAAGAAGTTATATATGCCAGTTGCCCCCTTGCATACTGATGTACATTTCTTTATAAAAATTGGCAAGTTTGGAGTCTCATATTTCCATGCATTTGCAATGGATTCCTATGAGACTTGGCACATGCTTTGTTTATTAAATTTAATGTGATAAATTGACCTACATGTATGGAGGTGCAGGTTTTTTGTCAAAATGAAAAAATACGAAAAATTGTTTATATTGTGTGACATCGTTTGACATTGTTGAAGTGGTCCATTATGTAATGGTCCGGCTAAGAAGTATGCAAAAGGGCAAAAGACTGCAGCAATTAAGCTACTTTCTAACTAAGGTTTGATTTGGCCACTGGGAATTTTGCTTCCCATCAGGAATCAGGGTGAGATTCCCACCAGAACTGGCCACCAGCTGACGATACTGTACATTTTTCTTAGGGCAAATTTAGTCTTGGTGGAATTCTAGTGGGATCCTCCCAGGATTTCTGCTGGGATTCCTGCTGAGTATGAAAACGCTGGTGGCCAAAATATTCAAATTTCAGTAGAATAAAATTTGTATATTTACACTGTAGTACTAAACAATCAATCAATCAATCAAGCAAGCAAGCATCATGTATGTCATTTCGAATTTCATGATAGCAAAAACATGCTAACATCTCCGAAGAAAATAAATTCATAAAGTTAAAAAACTAAGAAATACACGTGATACAGTAGAACCCCAGTAACTTGAATTCTGAAGAGAAACTAAAATCCGTTCGAGTCAGCGGGTTCTCAAGTTATTGGGATTGATTAAAATATTCAAGTTTCCAGGTTAATAATTAATAGTTTATTGATTTTCAGCACTTCAGTATACAATACAGTGCAAATTAAACTTATTTCATGAGAAACTAATACATTTTGTAGCTTCTGTAATGATTATGCATTCTTATGACAATGCAATACTGTGAATGTAACTTAGTTTATTTAATACACTCAATTTATGTTCCCTTTTGCATCAGGGTCCTTCTGTTATTTGTAAAGTTCTTATTGCTCTTTTGCAGGACTTTCCAGTCCTGGAAACTGCCACAGTCAAATTCCAGGACTTTCCAGGTTTTCCAGGACCCAACCCTGCATTAGCTTTTCTTATCATGTGATCGAACTCTAACACTAGAACAAAGACTGGAGGAATTTCATTTTTATTACTGCAACAAACAGATCCTGTATTTGACAGTTATTTACCAATCATAAGAGTCATACCGGGTGCGGTGCCTTTGCTGTCACAAATCAGAAGCAGTATACGGCAAATAGAGGCATTGGCAGAAAGAATCCTTCCCTGCATTCTTGGTCCTGGAAAGTTCTGGAAATCTGTTAAACTCAAGTAAAAAATATGAAATGTATGGCAGACAGTAAGGAGAATGAACATTGAGATCTTGGGAGTGAAAGGGTTAATGTGAGTTTTAGACTCCTGGAAACATCAGTCGGGGTCCTGGAAAAGTCCTGGAAAAGTCCTGGAAATTTGTTTCTGCAAAAGGATGCGAACCCTGTAATGGGATATCTCAATGGGCATCCATGGCGAGTTATAAGAACCAGAAATTTGTGTTATCAGGGTAAATTTTGATCAAGGGAAATGAAATTTAGTTCGAGTCAGCAGGGAATTCGAGTTATCTGAGTTCGAGTTAAGTGGGTAAAAATGACTGAAAAGTGGGGTCAAATCCAAGGGAAATGGGACTTGGTTTGAGTTAGCGGGGGAGTGTTAGTTATCCGAGTTCGAGTTATCGGGGTTCTACTGTAGATAAATTTATCAAAATTGGTTAACAAATTTCATCAGGTTAAAGTGTTCATCAACTTTCTTGTAGCCTGTGAAAGAAATTAATACATAGGCATTATCAGTATTTCCTGGTGTACATGTACGTGTGCTGTATACAAACAATATTCCACTGTTGCAGATGTTATATTCAGACTTAATCTTGAAATTAAATCTACCACAGACAAAGGATAAAAAGGAGTTATCCAGTCTACCATTTATGAAAAATCAACGTGTTTGTGCCTACTGACATGTTAACTGGGCTGTACAATTTTTCCACTTGACTGATTTCTATTAGAGAAATGGGGCAAAAAAACACTGTCGTGAATGTTAAATAAAAAACCAGACATAACACTCTTAGAATCAGTGCCACAGACATTACAGTCTTAGAATCACTGACAAGTGTAGAAGATAAATTATCCTTTTTTCTTGTTCTCAGTGATATTAAGCAAGATATATATAGCCAAATATTTTATGTTATAATTTATGATTGGAACTGGTTGGCATCTCATGTAAAACCCCTGAAATATCACAGCACTTTTTGGGGGACACAACATGCTTTTTGCATGAAGTATAACCTGCATTTGAGCCTGCTCTTGGGATATTTCTGAGCCTGGAAACATATGCTGGTCACCAAAGTAATAACTTCTTTTACCAGAGAATAGACAAAAATGGCAGTTTTGTTGAATTCAAGGTTTCTTTACTGAGTTGTCACAACTACTTACTATTGGCCTTAAGACGAGGCAAAACAAAAGACTCCACTATTCAAACATTTTTTCAGCTTCTGTTGTTGTTCTCCAGTTTATCAATGGACCATTTGAAATTCCAGAGCAACTAGATGTGGAAAAAAAAACTCTTGAAAGTAATAGGAAGCATACATGTACATGTACATGTAGAAGGGTTTAAGAACTGTCAGAAATGATTATGTTCAACAGAGTGGCAGAACCTCTTCTGCAGCTATTGTTGAAATTTCAGAGTAGTTAACAACCCATTGGAAAGCCTCTGTCTTTGTCAAAAGTTTGTTAGGTGAAACTAGAGCAAATTTAGAAGGACATAATTATGCGATGTAATGTTCTGTCTTTTAAGAACCATTTCAAAATGTTTTTATCTAAGTTCAAGGAGTGTAATGTCAAGGAGTGTAATCTCGACGACATAACATCCAGAACAATGTTTTGTTGCCATTATTTGGAAAATGTTGCAGTTTACCAGAGATATCTTTTGGCCAAAGTGTTTCCATATTTGGATATCTAGCTGTGTGACAAGAATGGTTTTAAAATCTTTCATGTAGTCATTTTAGAAAACAAAAAAGATTGTTGAAACATTGTGGATGTTATGTAACATCTGTGACTTTTGTTATAATTATCTACTTTTTAAAAACGTTCAGGGTGAAATTTACATCACTTATGTGTTACATTGTAGCTCCAGTGAGGGACTTTTTCTTATATTTCCCAAGTTTGATTCAGCAAGTTAAAAAATTTAGTCTTCTTTCCTGTTGTTTGCTCCAAAAAAATTAAAACAATAATTACTTTGGGAACCCCCCTGAATACACGGTTGTCATGAGAGTGCTGAAATGTATTTTTCTGTGTATTTTTAAAACTTGTCAGCAGTGTATTCATGTGCAACCTCTTTTTAAAAATCTGGATTCTGACACCACTCAAGTGGAATTGCCCATACATGTACGTGTACATACATCGATATGTAGGTTTCTAGTTTTAGCAAGTATATGTTAAATCAACAACTCCTGACCAACCATTTGAAGGGTTGAAATTGTTTTCACCACATATGAATGCAACAGTCACAGTATTGGGGATAAAATATTTATTGAACTGAAAGTTAGACTATTGTTTTTATTTCCAGTGATATTTAAGATATTTAAACCTTACAAGCATTATTTTGAGTTGAAGGGAGTGACAGTTATTTTAAAGTTGAGCCGTTTGAATAGATGCAGTTTTTTCTGAAATGGGTGCTCCAGATGGGTGTCTCGAAAACTCAGACCTCAGTCCCTAAAAACTCAGACCCTTTGAATGTCTCGAAAACTGAGGCCCGAAAAATAAAACAATTTTTCACAGGGTGTTTGCCATGGATTGTTTCAAAATGACTTGTTTACAATGTCATATATACTGCAGGCAGAATCTGAGGGGAGAGAGAGAGAAAGAAAAAGAAAAATCAGTCGTGGAGGTAGATTCCTCTGCTTTAATCATGAAAATAATACCCAACATTTGTATCATTTTTTGGTTGCCTTACAAGTATAAACCAAATTTATCAAATAAATGTATTTAGAATCCATTCAAGCCATGTTTAGTTAGCGTGAAGGTGTCTTGCATGAGAATTTTGAAATACAAATGGAGAGTCACATTGCAGAATTGATAGTTCCAAACAGATATACATTGTACATGTAACCTACATTGTATTATGGATACTTATGCTTAGATTAATTCTCCCAAATTCAATTTTGAGCAGAACAAACCTTTAATAGTCAAACAGAGTTTTTTGGGTCTGAGGTTTTGAGACACCCAGATGGCCTAAGTTATTTGGGTCTGAGGTTTTGAGACACCCAGGGCGTCTGAGTTTTTTTGGGTCTGAGGTCTGAGTTTTCGAGACAT